CAGGATGTTCAATCTAATCCTCGAGTATTGAATCAAGCTGATAAGAGCATAAAGGTGGATCCTGGTCATGTTTGGCTGTGTCCTTTTCATATGCCTTTTGAATTAAGCATTGACACAGTATTATTAGTTCAGGTTTGGAATAGTTGGAAGACAGAGATGTGTTTCCCGTGACACATAGCAGATATAGACATCTTGACACAGGTTTTTGTGAAGAATCACAAAAACTGGAGGGTGCATGCCAAAACTCACATCATAAAACAGTTACCTCAATGCTCTGAACATCTCATAAAGCTGTGTAGCATCACCGGTGATATAACATGACATATGTCAGTGTAAATGTGTTCAAACAGAACAAAACATGTTCCTTGCTTTGGTTACGTACATTCGACAGGTGGGCCATTTGTACTGCAAATGTACTGACTGTACAGGCGTTAAACCGTATTAAAGTACTTTCATTAGTCAATTTCAAACATGGTATAATTAAGCAATAGCTCACGACAGGCCGTGGTATATGCTCATTATATCACAGCTAAGGGGCGTGGTTCGGCCCAACGCGAAGCAGTTTGCTTTTCAGCCCAACGGTATACTGTTTTTCTCAGACGCGGAGGGATACTGACTTGTTGTGAAAAGTAACTTACAATTCTACCCGTGGTATACGCTCAGTATATCACGGCTAAGAACCAATCAGATTGCTTGATTTGACTTGTCCGTTTTATAATAATAAATAATAATAATAATAGATTTAATTTGTTAGCGTTTTTACAGGTGCTCAAAGACGCTTTACAGATATAGAGAAAAGAAAAGAAAAGAAAGGAACAACAAATAAATATATAGTTAAAGTTAAAGTCAAATAATACAAAAACAATCACACATTAAAAGCCAGATTGAAGAGGTGAGTTTTTGTGAGTTTGAAGGTGGTGAGGTCGGTGCAGTCTCTGATGGGTTGTGGGAGGGAGTTCCAGAGGGAGGGGGCAGCGACGGAGAAGGCTCTGTCCCCCCAGGTCCGGTGATTGGTGCGGGTGGGGATGGATAGGAGGTTGGGTTCTGATGAGCGGAGGCAGCGGGAAGAGGTGTGGTGGTGCAGCAGGTCTGGGAGGTAGGGGGGGGCCTGGTTGTTGAGGGCTTTGTAAGTAATGAGGAGGACTTTGAAGTGGATTCTTTGACGGACGGGGAGCCAGTGGAGGTTCTGGAGGACGGGAGTGATGTGGTCTCGGGAGCGGGTGTGGGTGAGGAGGCGGGCAGCAGAGTTCTGGATATGTTGGAGTTTGTTGAGGAGGTTGGATGGTATGCCGTAGAGGACAAAGACACGTCCTCACTTCAGTGTGAATATTCGTCTACGTATATATTCACTTCACTCATCTAACTGAAGAGCCTTACAATACGGATTGGCCTTTTAATTCCTCCTGTGAGAATAATTGAAAAAAGCAGACAATTTCGCATCCAAACATCGCAGTCTTCTAACAATCAACGTGAGAACCAAGGACTGAATTGGAAGAATAATAACTGCTTGCAACTATATGGTGGAGGATATCTGACCTAATGTGGCTTTTAGTCCTCAGTCAAGAAGGAGACATTTGAACAAGTTAAAGAAGGTTTAGGAAATGAAGAGATATTCCACACAGATCTGGAAATATAAGCAGAGGTTAAGTGCAGAATAACGTTCTTATTATATATGATATGCACAATTGCACGTCCAGCATGTGTTTTTCCGGAGCGCTGTGTTGTTGTTATGTCTCATTGAAGTGAATAAGGAAGCCGCAGACAGAACGGGAGGGAGGTGGTGTTTTCTTTGCGTATTAGTCTGGGTTTGTGCTTCTGTGAATGTGTTCTTGGCTTTGTTTATCCGTGTGTGCCTGAGCGAAGCAAAGAGAGTCTGTAAAGAAGAAGTGTTTTTCACAGCTTACAGACCACCATTTTCACCAAGTGTCTCGCGGTTTCTGGTCGCTCGGCACATGAATCACTCATTTCATCTCAGTGTGTGTATTTCATCCCTCCATGTGGATTTTCCCACTGTTTGTTTATGAGTGTGTCTGTGTGTTGCTGTGTTTGTGTGCGTGAGCTGCACTGATGAAATTGCGTCTCCTCCTCCTCTTCCTCCGCCTCCTCCTCCTAATGTTATCTCACTTCCTCTGGGCCCCTGACAAACCCACCAAACAGGGAGAAAATAGAGCGCTTTATTGGGACGCCTGTCAGGACTCCCCCTGGATTTATGGNGTAATTTTCTTAAATGTTTTATGTGAGGGACTGCGGATGGAAATGAGCTCAATGAACACTTAAAACAGTCAAATGTGTTAAGCGTAACAGATTTAGCTTTGAGCTCATTTCCATCCGCAGTCCCTCACATAAAACATTTAAGAAAATTACATTTTACGAACATACATACAGCATGATGTTATTGTAGTAAATGATGATCCTTATAGCCAGCTAAGGGGGACTCCACAGATTGTATTAAAGTCTATGAGACCTAACTTTTCATGAATCTTGTTTAGTAAATGATGTTTATTTAGTAAAAAAAGATCCAAAAGAATGTATTGTTTAGGTCGTGACTGCCTTGTGATTGACAAGTGGCTTCTGCAGTGTTATTCCGCATTCGGTTGTACTAAAACAAACTGTCAGGAGTTGATTTCTCCTGCCTCACCCTGTCGTCTAAATAAAGAACATTCAATTTCCCCAAAAAAAAAAATGACTAGCGAAAACGTCATACTCAAGGCTTCAAAACGTTAGTCCATAAACCAATGGCTGACTGGTTAACCACGTCAAATGCTTTTATACGGTTAAACGGTAAGAGCGGATGAAAACAATAACAAAACACACAAGGACACAACCAAGGGGACGAGTGCACATACACACAAACAGCTGTTTACATTTAGCCTCCACTGGAAGCTCTGCTGAAATCCATCAAGACCAATGCTCGGCGCTCGTGCCTCCGATCTGACATTTTGTCAATTCCTCTCATTCAAGCTCAACACCCTCTCTCTTTGTTTCTCTCTTTCGTGTGTGTGTGTGTGTGTGTGTGTGTGTGTGTGTGTGTGTGTGTGTGTGTGTGTGTGTGTGTGTATATAAGGAAACGCATGTGTTTCTGTTGCTGTGTGAGCATGTGTGAATTGTGCCTGCAGTTATCTGCACGCAAGGAGGAGCGGCAGTGAGGGAAAGTGAGCCGGCATGAAGGGCAATGACTATGTTTATGTTTCTGCATGTGTGGACGCTGTGGTGTCCTCAACTCTCCTGTGTTTACAGACAGGAAATGTTTGTCCAGGCAAAAGGGAAGGAGCTCTCCTGCCAAACACTGGGCCTGACGCACACACACACACACACACACACACACACACACACACACACACACACACACACACACACACACACACACACACACACACACACACACACACACAGATATTCAGACACTCGTGTGTAGAAAAGAGGAATCTGGTGGGAGCTGCAGCCTTTGTGATGGAGGTGGGGTATCTGGTAATGGGGAAGTGGGAGTGATTGGGCAGGGCACTAACTGTTTTTCACTTCCCTCCGAGCTGACTGCCAACGCAAACTCCGGCAGATAGAAAGTCAATACGCTGACCCCCTCTGAACATGAGAGATGTCTGCACGCCTGTCCACACCAATGACTGTACGCCTGCACTGCTGCGGCTCTCCTGTAGTTCATATTTCTGCTGCTGCCACGGCTGTTTAATTGATTCTCTATCCGTTTGTCGATGATGCCCAGTCTGCTGAGAGACACAGGGATTGTACCAGTATAATATTTCAGATTTCAAAGCACTTTTTGGCTCCATATTTATAGCCTTATTAGCTTAAAGTAAGTGAAAAATATACCAGTGCATTTCAACTTCAAATTCAGATTCAATGTGTGTCTCGGTGAAAACTGCCAGTATGAGGTGTCATTATTCTTTATTTTTTAATGCTGCAATCTGCCGCAGCCTGTCTTCCAAAATACTAAAATTCACCTCCAGGAAATAAATTGAGAGTTGAGAGTTATATTGAAATGATCTCATCCATCTGGCAGTCCTTGTTTTTTTACTTTCTCTTCACATGGAGATTCACTTCTAAAGCAAATGTTTCCTATGTCTCCACTGTCATCTGACAAATGAAAGCAATAACGGCAAAATAATCGAAAGAAATAAAAAGAGGCACAGCATGTAAAAGAGACGAATTTATCTCAAGCTGCTCCAACATAAGTTCGTGCATCACATAACATGAATGCTGAAATCAGCCTTGTATTTCTCGGATAATACCTCAGTTCTTGTGCTTGAATAAATATACAATGCAGGACTTATAAAATATTTTTATGTGATAACACTTTTATTTGAATACCTTCTTCACCACTTTTCAAATCAAAATCAATTCACTGCAGACAGCCTTCCTTATGAAAAAGTATTTTTCACTTAGTTAGCAAAATAAGTAACTTTGCAAGTCATTTCTGAAGGTTTGATGGATGGTTCAAACTCAAAGGAGTTGCAGCATCAAGGTTGGCTACGACGATAGTTTCTGTGATTTATTTTAGGAGCACTCGCCAAATGTGTGTTGCCCAAATAAACAATACTCATTCTGGCTGTCTTGCTCATTTTCTTGTGATCTACGCTGACAGCTCAATGAGTGTGTGTGTGTGCTGATGTGTGTGGGCTTGTAAATTAAGGACAGCGCTGGAGGCGACGTGGATGTGTGTGTCGCTGCCGCTTTTTTTTTACGAACACACACAGCTTTTAAATATGAATAATCTAAACAGGGGGAGATGAAAGTGTCCTTTTACCATGCAGACTCACAGGAACATCAACATGTTCCCACACACACAGTCACACACACAATGGAGGAGCTATACAGGAAACAAGTGTGCCACAGCTGCACAGGTAACCAGAACACACACAAAGGAAAGTGAATCTTCCTGCAACCACCTCACTGTTACTCAATCTGAACAATACCCAGAGCATGGCACAGTCAAACATCTGAAACATAAACCAGTAGAGAGCCAGCTAAATATGACTTACTTGCTGGTGAGGGGGTGCTGTATCCACTCATGGGGAGTCCCGCGAGCGCTGGTGGGGACAGGCTCCCCAACATGTGGGGGAAGAAGTAGGAGTAAGTGGGCATGGGGAAGCCATGGAGGTGAGGGTTGCCCTTCCCTGCCATGATGGCTCAGTCCACCTCCAGTCACAGAAAAACCACCGTCAAAATATCTAACGGAGCCGAATAGAAGTCAGTGTGGATTCCTGGTTTAATCCCCCATAGGGGCTCTGCATGAGTAGATATTCCAATAGACTGCCAAACGGAAAAAAAATCCCCTTGTGATTTCGAAACTTGAGTAATGGCGTCCGTAAAAAGGCTGCAGTGATTGCACAAAAAAATCCTGCTGGTTTATGAATGTGTGTGTTAAGGGTGTACAAAGATAAAAAAAGAAACACAAGGTAGAAGTATAAAAGACGACTGGAGAGTGTGTTATCCTTCCTTTCTCTGGTATTGTGAAACCGTTTGAAAGGTCTTATTTGCGAGAGGCGTTGGGGTGGCTGGAAACTAGCAAGGCCATTCCTTATCGTTAAGATGAAAGGGGGGGGGGTAAAAAGAGACAGGAGGCAAGTTGAGGCAAGAACAAGTGACTTTGATGGCTGCAGTACAGGAGTTGGGAAAGTGGCGATGGGGTTGCTTCGTGGCCGTGATGTTTCCACGGGAGCGGAGATTCACTCTTCCACTGCGGAGCGCTCCTCGGGAATGCGCCGATCACATGATGCCAGGACAAAGCTCTTCTCCTTGGACGAGCATCTTCTCTGCAGCCTGTGAAGAACAAACAGGTCATTTAGCGCTTTAATGACAAGGTAAAGAGATGTTTTCCTTCTATACTTAAGTGCTTTAGCAAAACAGTTATTTTCTTTTGACACTAATTAATGGTAAGGTCTGAATTTGAATGTTACGAAAACACCCCCCTCTGCCTTAATTATCTAATGGAGTGTTAAAGCTGTGAGAGAGAGCAGTGGGTGTGTGATGTCTCCTCGCAGCTTTGTGCGCTCACACACACGCGCTCATTAACAGTGACAGACTACAAATACTGTGGGAGACGAGCCAAAACATAAATGAAGAGAGCAACACAAAGGGAAACTTCGCTAATTACACCCGTCGCAGAAGCCAGAGGTGAGACCCAAGGCACCGATCTGGGACCATTAGAGATTTCTACTGCCGAGTGCTTCCAAATTAAAAAGCAAGACGTGTACAAACAGACCTGTAACCAAAGCAGAAAGCACATACGCACACAAGGGCGCTGACAACTAAACACCCGGAGAACACAATTACCATAAAAACCGTACACTAGCAACACAGTATATACAACCGTAAGAGCAGCGCCTTCAAAACAGTTTGTCATAACATGAGCCTGGTATATTTTCTTACTGTAATGACCCTTTTAAGAGTCAGTGGATGTAATGCACAGCAGCACAAGTAAAATCATTGCAAAACACACTCACACACACACACGGAGTGCAGTGAAATAGCAGGAGGAATGTGTCTTTGCATGAATAGTGTTGCTTAAGAATGTGGCACTGTAGCATGAATCACACCAGGACATCACGGATGAACTCCTGTAAAGAGAGAAGGGTCAACTCCGACATGTTTGTGTGCCTGTTCCCACTTGAATGGTGTACATAAAGCATCGTGTTATGACAGGTGAGAGGTGCACAGTGGTGGCAGCCATGTGACAAATTAAAGGAAAAACCCAACGAAGAGTTTCAACACATGCAGGTGGAAAAGCTTCTGTGCTGCTTAGGCGTGTACTGAACTTAACCAGTGTGATGGACAACAAGGGACTCTATTATTTGGTGTTTACATGTTGTTGTGGAAAGAGATTTTTAGAAGGTCAGTCCAAAATCCCCACTGGAAATCAATTGTCTTGAGATCTTGTGACTATGCAGGATATGGATCCCTTTCATATGTCGTAATGTGGAAACATATGGATGCTGCAAGGAAGATGGGTTTGTGTTTGTATTTAAACAACATGTTTAGCTTATTCTGTTACGTATCCCATTTGGGAAGCACTACCTGAACCCATCGACCACATGAAGCTGGTGAAATGTAATGTTAACGGAAGTGAAACTTAATGCATGTAACCGCCCTATCATTTCGATCAGCTCTTAAATGTTTTTGTTTTACCTTGACCCATGCTACACTCTCACGACTATTTTTGTTAAAATTGGGCCATTATTTCTTGCTCAATCCTGCCAAGAGACAAACATAACATCCTTACAGGGGTAAATGGCTGAGGGAATGATGGTATAAATAGGTTTCCACATCAGAATACTTCAAAGATTATGTTGTGTCCGGTATGGAAGAATCGGAATTTCTTATATTTAGGTTTCAATTATTCAGATTTCAGGGTTAGGGTTGTTTGGCAGCTGCATTGGTTCAGATTAACTGAGGTTGTAAAATTGGTGGCCATCATCCTTCACTTGCGATTAACTACAAACTCAAATTCAAATCCTACAAATGGACTCCTGGTGGAAAGCTTTTCTAGTGGTGCTGTTTTATTCTCTTGCATCACATCTCTTGTATGGCTCATTTCCATCACTTTCCCATATATCATGTCTTAAAACAAAAACTCTCTCTTTGAGTCTTTGTCTCAGCAGGAGTATTGCTCAGCCAGTATTACAGTATCACATTCTTTGCTGTCTGAAAGCTGTTCTTAGTAATTCCATAGGGGCTCTCAGTGCTATACCCGTGCCTGTTTCTGCATGTGTGTGTGACGATATACTTGCATGTAGGGAAAATGAGTAATAACTTATGAGATCTACAGTAAGAATGTCTGAGTGTGGTGTATCTGGAGCCGTAATATGTCTCTTAATCAGATGGAGAGCTGATTTGATGGGTTTGGTCTTTTATTAGCCGCCTTATTTTTATTGATCGGCGCTCTCTGTTGTCGCGGCGAGCTGCTGTGTGTCAGGGGTTGTGGGCTGGACGGTGCGATTGTATTAGGCCGAAAGCTTTAACAGCACTTTTTAAAGCCCAGGGGAGTTAAGATATAGCTTTATTTGCTTTTAAAGCCCCCGCCCTCTCCCGAGCAGACTCCCATTAAACCAGGAGAGAGTTAAGGCAACATAGTAACCTGTGAGATATTATTCCTGGTCCCATAATGCAGAGTAATACACAACCATTACCATTATGAAATGCGGCTTTTACACACTGGTCTGGTCATGTAAAATGCAGTAGCATTGTCAGAAATACACACTGAGGTGATGTAAAGCCATATATATTTTAATACAACAGCCAGAGGCCATAGATGCTCAACTGTGTGTTTCAATGAGGAACTACAACTCACCGGGAATGGCAGAACCCACAGGCTGGAAATGGGCGACTTCCTTCAACGTTATTATTACGGCGTGAAGTCTGAGCGCCATAAGAAGCCGTGATGATTGATAAGCAACATCAAACATTACAGTGCACTCACACCTGAAAGAAGTTTGTTGTAGTACACCCAAAGCTAGTTATTTTTTACTGATGCTGCAGTAAATAGACGGGGTTATTGTTGTTTGTTACACAGGAAGTGGCTGCAGCACGATAAGCCTTTACTATATTTTGCGATGGATAGGAACAGACTGAAGGTGGTCAAAGATTCTGATCACTTGAAATTGAACCAAAGAAGCGTCCTTCATTGTAAGTTAATAATACTATCAGGGTTGTGTGCAGGCATTGTGTGTTTAAGTAAATAGAGTGAGAGATAACATCGTTAAAATAAGAAATCAAGCTTGGCTAATAAAATCACAAAGCATCCCATTTAAGTGTTCCTAAACTGATTAAATGAGCCATTTAATATCAACTCAATATTTTCTTACAAGACTACAGCTATTATTTGTAACATAAACATTATGAAAATAAGAATTTAATTAAAATATGTTGTGTTTTTTCAATATTAGTCCTATTAATTATAAGTGTCAGAATGATCATTTGTTTCTACATCTATAAAATACAAAAAATGTAAATAAATATAAATTAAAATAAATGGAAAAATCCTCCTTTTAAATAAGAGTAGTTACATGTTAATTAAAACATGTATAAAATTGATCAACAGTCAAGTTTTGATATAACAAATTAGAGTAAAAATAGAGATTACCGATAAAAAATATATAGCTTTAAATAATAAGTTTATGCACAAGATAAGTAAATGGCATAGGAGGATTTACTGAGTCCCTTTGTGTTTCTCTATGTCGAGGACGCTTCCTTGGTAGGACATGTCTTCCGAGTCAGGTCCTTCAGAAGCGAGGCAAGAATCCTTCCTAGCCTCGGAAAACGAAGAATGGTGGACCGCGGAGGATACACATGTGCAGCCTCGAAATGTCCCGCAACGAAGGACGCCGGCCTCGGTAGAATTCCAAGGATCCTGGACATTGGAACATTCCTTCGGCGGGACTCGATGACGTAGCATCCTTGAAATAGTGGCTCTGGAGGAGCCTTCCTCGACATTGAGAAACACCCCCTGTGTCTGTATCTGAGAGCAAGCTAACAATACCTGACTGGTGTTGCTGAAGCATTTCAAACACATTATATAATCAGTGGTCCTTATTGCACTCACCCATGCATAAACACACACACACACACACACACACACACACACACACACACACACACACACACACACACACACACACACACACACACACACACACACACACACACACACACACAGCGGCACACCCACTCTAAAGCCACAACAGAGTGTGTACAGAGGCAGAACGAAACTGAGCACCTGTATAATCTCTCTGCCAGCTATAAGGACAACACACACACACACACACACACACACACACACACACACACACACACACACACACACACACACACACACACACACACACACACACACACACACACAGAGGCAGGAAGATGAGACACACATCACTAAAAGAGGAATCAAGGCACAATAAGGGGCCCGGGTAATCTGCTGTGACAACTGCACACGCAACACCAACGCTGGGTAAAGCTGCTGACATGCACTCTACTTTCTCACTTCCTGTCAATGTACACAAACCAATCACAATCCTCATATACAGCTGTGTACTCTGATCCTATATTGAATAAGGATGGCTGAAATTCAAAATCAGTGGTGAAATGTAGATGAATACATTAGTCCAATACTTGAATACATTTTTTTACATTATTATTCTATACTTGATGTTTTTACATTTCTACTCCACTAGATTGGAAAATAGGGAAATATTGTTATTTTTACTATATCCCTGTTACTATTGGTGCTTGTGTGTGTGTGTGTGTGTGTGTGTGTGTGTCTCTCTCTCTCCCTGTCTCCAGGTGCAGCCTCTCCCCCAGGTGCTCCCAATCCCCAATCAGGGCCTCCATAAAGGACCTGAGGAAGGCTGCAGTGGCCTCTCTCCTTCTCCTCTGGCTGCATTGTGTGCAGCATGTCTCTGTCTTCTTGTGAATTGTTAGGAGATGTGCTCCAGTTCACCTTTTTGTGTATTGTTTATTTTAGTTTGCTTTGCAAGTTGGCTGTTGAGCCCTTTTTCTTTTTTCCATTAAAACATCACTTTGTGGCTTCAGTAGACAGTTTCCTCTCCTTTTTCTCTCGCCTGGTTATTTTGGTGTTTTGTTACTTCCCGTTAGTTAGGAGGGAACGTAACACATGGGGGCTCGTCCGATCTTTGAGATAAAGAGTGATTATTTGATTGTTTAGTGTTGATATTGTGTTTGGTGGTGAGCAGTAGTGTATATAATAATAATAATAATAATAATACATTTATTTTGGGGGGCGCCTTTCAGAACACGTTAATTAAGATTAATTAATTACACAAAAATTAACGACGTTAAAAAAATTAACGCATTTTAATCGCACTTATTTTTGCACCGCGGAACGTTTCTCACTGGATGAGTTTCAGGGGTACCGATTATACTGGAGCACCAACTACGTTCATTACTTCAGACAACAACAAACCACAGTGAACAATAGTCAAACGTGAACGAAGAAGCTGATGAGACCGCTTTGGTTGGCCCCGTGGATGGGACATTTTGTTNAGGGAGTTCCAGAGTCTGGGTGCCGAGCAGCTGAAAGCTCGAGCACCCATGGTTTTGAGGCGATAGCTTGGGACGGTGAGAAGTCCTACACCCAGGATTAAGTGTAGCATTGGCTGTGAAGTCTCTTACTGTTGAACAGCTTCCTCAGTTTAGATAGGGGAGTGTCTAGCTGGGCTGAATCAGTCCTTCCTTCAGACACTCATTTATTATTTTGTCTTTTTTATTTTCGGGGTAATCCTGGGTTGGGATTTAGTCCCTGTTGGGGGCAGGCGTTTCAGGGTTTCGGCCGCTGATGTTTGCCTTTTTTAAAGTCGCCTCGAGCCCGGCACGCTAAGGTAGGTAAGTTGTGGTAGGCAGGATCAGGAGAAGTTTGTTATTTGAAAGAGTCGATGTTTGTGTAGCCTCAGATATTTTGCCTGTTGTTGAGTGAGGTGATTTAAGAGTGAGTGTTGAAAATTAGTTTGTGTTTAGTATGGCCTCCCTTGTGTGGAGTGAGTCCTCTCATACTGGTTCTGAATTAGATGCCAGGTTGAAAGTGAGGTTAGCTCGTCTACAGTGGGAGAAGGAGGAGCGTGAGCGAGATTGGACTATCGTCTTTTTTGGTTGTTCCGTTTTCCTTCAGGATTTCTCCGTCTTCATTGTCTTCATTGTAGTCGTCACTGGCATCATCATCATCCTCCTCCTCGTTTTCATGGTCGTCTTAATCATCATCTTCATCCTCAGGTTCTCCTTCATCATCACTGAGTGACACCAGCATGTCTCCTTTCTCCATAGCTTCCCTCAGAGCGTCACAGCCCTCCTCTCCCAGACAGTTACCGTTGAGATCCACTTTCTCCATGTCAGGTTTGTCTCCGACGGCCTGAGCCACAACCAGAGCAGCTGCTTCTGTGATCTCACCAAACGACAGATTGATCTCCTTGAGGCCGGGCAGTCCCCCCTCTCCCATATATGTATCTCTCATAGTTACATTTGACAAATAAAACATGTTATCCTTTTATGATATGGTGCAGTACCTTACTATTCATCTACCCAAAGTAATTCAAATTGGCTTCTCATTGACAAACTACAATATTAAAACGCACTTAGATGTATTTGTTAGGGGAAAAACTGAATAATATATTGTTTTTATAATTATATAATATATAATCATTTTGTGAGTACTTTGTTGTTTATACAACCAAGGTGGCAGTGGTTGATTCTTGTAAGGACTAAGAACCAAAGGGTAGTAAAATAATACGGATACCCCCCACTGCCTGTTTCTGTATCCGCATCTGTTTGTATTGTGCTGTGTGTAAAAACAACTGAATTTCCCCTTGAGTATAAATGAAGGGTCTTCTTCTTTTATTAAGTATTACAAGATGATGGTATTTATACTTTTACTTAAAGGTGGGGTAGGTAATTTTGGTAATTTTGGAGAAACCAGGTGTGCCTTGGCAGTCTCAGACCGGAAAAAATCTGCCACTTCCTTACAGAGCCCCTCCTCCAACACACACGAACGCGCACATGACCAATGAGGGCAAGTTTGTGCCCAGATGGAAGGCTGACAGGCAGGTAGGCCATCCAGTTATTTAAGCCGGGCCGGTTCAAATGATTGGTCGTGCTTTTTACAGCGCTACGGCTTCCACAGATGAAATTTGTTTATGTATTTATTGTCAAAGCATTTAATATATTCATTGCTATCGGGATGTTAAGAGCATTCCATGGAATATAACAAAAAGTGTTTCTGAAATAAATGACATGCCCCACCTTTAAGTAAAGGATTTTAGTTCACTGTGTATGCACATTTTTACTCCGCAAGAACCCACATCTTCTAACTCACTCTCCTTCAAAAACACACACACACACACACACACACACACACACACACACACACACACACACACACTAATCTCGGCGGGCAGCTGCCTCCTGCTGTATGATGCATGTGTTCTATATGATACTGCTGACACACAAGGTCGTTGATATGTAGAAGAAGAAAGGGGATCATTTGTGCATAATGCTCTTCTTCATAGCATATAGATGTGCTCAAGTGCTGTCAAGGAGGACAAGTAATGTCTCACATGCATAAGTAACTGAACATTGATAAGATATAGGCGTAAAACAAGCATAACAAGGGGGAATGAGAGCTATCTGTGTGCCGGTGTATGCATAAAACATTTATTCACACACTTGTTTATGCACTTACAGCTATATAACTGAGACTACTGTAGTCTAAAAATGGAAATATAGCGTACATTAAGAGGCGACGCAGTAGTGTAGCCTATAGAAGTGAGTAGGGGACCTGGGGCTTAGAATCGAGCCATTAATGTACATCTTTTCATAGAGTTTCTAACAATTCCTCTGCAGACTCCTTTTGTATATCTTTAGCTAGCCCCTATCTGCCAAGTTCATTTCAACGAGAGCACAGAGGCAAGAATCTCCCGAGGGAATGTATGTGATCACTTTACACTAAAATAAACAAACAATCTGGGTCGCTTGGTCTTTACTCTGTGTTTGGCTAGTAACAGGCAGAGAGAAGGCAGGTTCAGAGGTCATGGGGCACAGGAGATTGTAATTGGATGTGACAGCAAATGGTGAATTAGTAATCAGAAGAGGCAGCAAATGGCAGCGTGAGGTCGAGATGGACAACGCAGAAAACCGAGCCGCAGGGGACGGCGAATGCAACGCATGACATACAGACACACTCGGATGCGTCCTAAATAGACATGCGTGCACTATAGAGCAGGGTTCAATCTACACACACGAGCACACAAGTTCAAAGTGTCACTGAGAGAGACATTGGTTGTTGTCAAGGCTTGGGGGAAAAAAACATAGGGTGATTTTTTTTAGATAAGCCACACACACACACACACGCAAATGAACAAACACACACACAGCAACATCTACAATGTACATCTCTCGTCCCGTGAGGACCCATTATCCGTGTCGTTGGTGCTGCTAGTGCCACATCTCTCAGGAGGAGCAGCTGGTGGTCAGCGGCAGGCAGAAGCACACGTCAATGTGTTGCTAATGCTATGGAGTCCAGTGGGATTAGACACATATGCTAATGCTACATGGAGCATGATTACACAGGATGGATCCTTTAGCATGTCATTTTTTTAGCTGCAAATAAGAGCACTTTCACAGACAGACAATGCTCCTCTCTTAAAGAAATACATCACGCAGAAAAGGACCATTTAAATATCACTTGCTCACGCATGTATCCTTTATTTCTTCAAGAAAACTCACTTGCATAACTCCTTAAAAAGACTAAGAAGTGTATAGAAAACTAGGGTTCAGGGATAAATAACACTTTTGTAGTGAAGTAGCTGTGTCAGAGTTTCACAGAGTTGTCTACATTTGTATTATTGTATTTGGGATTGTTGGAAACGTTATTTCGGTCTCTGACAGATTGCCATTAAAGTTGACTTTTACTTTGACTTTTGATATGGGTGTAACCTAGAAAATAGCGATAGCAATCATTTGATTTCCCAAAACATTTATATATGATTGCCCATTTAAGGCTTAACAGTGAGGATTAATAAAGGTATTCTGATTCTGATATACTACTCCTTTGTAAATTCATTAAACAATGGGAATTCTAAACAGTGAGCTGATTATGGCATTGCTCAGAGATTTGTAGTTCAGCTTACAACAGCCTGCGGTAAAAAATATTGAATTGTAATTAACCCAGTGCCAAGTCAATTGCTATCACGTTGTTATACCTGCTATTTTATTAATGTTTCCCCTTTGCTGCAGGCATGCCATTTAAATATCTCCAATGTGCTGCACCTGCTGATTCCAATGAAGGACATGCTGCTTCAGATATACTTACTCTGGTAATTGTCTTCCCCATGATGACACTATTTCCCCATTCAAGGGTGAGAATCAGATGACACGGATAGTATCTCTTTGATTTGTACAAAAGCCTCACCACAGGGAGGGGTACAGGCTGCTAGCTAGAGTGTGTGAGGGTCTGTAACAGCGCAGAGTGTGTGAGGGTCTGTAACAGCGCAGAGTGTGTGAGGGTCTTTAACAGCGCAGAGTGGGCTCAGACTGCAGCCTGTGTGCATTGTTAACCATAATGGAAGTCTCTCAAGCACGATGCATTGCATTTTTTATAAGGACAGCAGTGTGCGTCAGAAGTGAGACGCGACATTGCAGGAGGGGATGCGAATATGTGCACGCATGAGTGTGTCCGCATGAGTGTGTCCGCGCAGCGCATTCAGGGGTATGTGTGTGTATCAACAAGTGTCTGAGCGAGTGGGCGTTGTGTGCGGTCACGCATGTGTGTGTGCATTCGTGCTTATTAATACGTGCCCTCGTCTATTCCTGTACTACATTTGCATGTCAACCTATTGCCCCGGGGAGTGTCTTACAGTATGCTGCAGTTACTGTACATTACTGGCTCAGAAGGGATGGGTTTTGCATAAAAGACTAGACCACATCTGCGGGGGTGGTGGGAAGAGGCAGAGAAGGACACTTTGACACGTCACTAACGCGGGACATCAGATGTGAATTATTTAGGCGTTACGTAAGGATATAGAAGCTTGGCTAGAAATAGTTTACACCACTTTACCTTGGACTACCTTTGTAGCCTACTAAGAGATAATGGAGATTCATTAAAGCAGGTCGAAGAATTGCAAAAACTAATCACCCAACCAACCCTAACCAGTAACCTTATATAGGAAAGTAGCATCCCATCAGTGCTATATAGTTGTGCAGTAAACAAGCAGTCTTTAAAGGGGAAATATTATGCTATTTTTTCAGACCATAAATGTATTTCGGGTATCTGTAGTTATTTATTTACAATTTTGATCTCATACAATTCTAGACCCTGTGTCTGCTATGTTCCATTTTAGCTCCTGAGTCTTTAGACACCTTTCCCAAGTCTGCAGCGGTTTGCTTTGTGAGAAAAGTATGGCACAGCTTTGTAAAGGTAGATACTCAGATTGGTGGTGTTTTATTTTAATGAGCCTGCATGTGACAGAGGAAGGGGTCTGAATAACTTCAGATTCAATAGATTGGTCTATTTTTGTGTATCCTGTATCTTTTATATTGTGTATTTGTCTTTGCTACTGTTGATATGTATATATTACTGTTTATTTTGTATGTTTATCTTAATTTTTTTTCAATTTAATTTAATTATATGGTTTTTATATATTTTTTTACAGCTGTGAAAAATCTATTTCCCAATTGGGGATGAATGAAGTACTGTTTATCTAATGTAATCTATATAATCTAATGTACAGTCACTGGAGGTATTAATAGTCTTACAAAAAGTCACCCACACTTCCCTTCTAGGAAAGGTTGGGCCAAACGCAAGTATATCCAAACTTTTGTATATTAAATCTGGCCTCTTAATAGTTACAATAGCTTCTATTATTCATTTGATCCCTGTCCAATAAGCACGACATAACATTAGTATGTTGTCCTATTTCCTAAAGCCTTACATCGATATAAGGAGAGGATTAATTCCAGCTCCTCCCAACTATCTGACCCTAAAATACTCCAGTCCAGTGCTCCTTCCCCCTGCGTGGCTGAGACGACCAGAGCGAGCTGAGGCATTGTGGGGGAGAGAGCAGGAGGTGGGAGTTACTTCTCAATGACAGCCAGAAAAGTGTGGCGCAAGAAGGCTAAAGGGTGCTAAGTGCACACCCAGGGCGGGGAGAATCCTCAGCCGTTTTGCCAAGGCCCCCTGTGGGGTGAATCCACTTGTCAGCGGAGCAGGCTGGGTGACATTTCTGCTTCACCTCAGAAAGGTCAGCCTTTAATTATCTCAAATGCCAGCAAGCACTGCACCTGCAAAAAATAAACCCAGGGATGAGCTGTGTGTGTGTGTGTGCGTGCGTGCGTGCGTGCGTGCGTGCGTGCGTGCGTGCGTGCGTGTGTTGGTAGCCTGCTTCCCTCACAGATAATGAGCGCCACTGTGGCTGTCCTTGCAGAACTGGACCATC